GCCCCCGCCCACCACGGTTGCCCCATCCCCTCTGCCCACGGCCCGCCGGGGTTTTGCAACGCTGCGCAGGAGGGCAGGGTGCAGGCCTGTGGGGGAGGCTGGGGTCACGCCCCGGGGGAGGGCGCCGGGCTTTCGCGGGCCCCACGCCGCGGGGACTGTGGCCGCCTCCCCCGGGCGTCAATGCCAGGTGGTGAGGGTGCCCAAGGGCCTGGCCGGTGTTCTGTGGCACCCACCTCGGGCAGGGCGGTGTGTCCCTGCGCAGTCTGCTCGGTGGGAGCAGAGGCCTCTCCAGGCCCCGGCCTCCCAGGACCCGGCCTGCCCTTGAGAGGCTGGAGGGACTGTCTCGGGCATAGGAAGGGGCTTGCTGTGGGGAGCTCCCCCACACCAGTATCCAGGCCCTGCTGCACAGATGGAGGCGGCCACCCATGGCTGACACCTGTAAACCTACTTACTCAGGAGGCTGAGATCTGAGGACCACAGTTTGAAGCCAGCCTGGACAGGAAAGTCAGTGAGACTCATTTCCAATTAACCACCAGAAAGCTGGGCTTTAAGCAGAGCTGTGGCTCAAGTGATAGAGCACCAGCCATGAGCGAAAAAGCCAGTCGTACTGAGTTCATTCTGCCCTGAGTCCAGGCTCCAGTACTGGCATACACACGCAAAGGACACAAAGGACAGGTGTGCACACCTTGAAGGGATAGATGGCTCAAAGTCCGGGGCAGGTATGTCTCTGGGAGGAAGTTCTGCTGTCCCTGAGCCCAGCCAGGGAGGGCGTGCTTGCTTGCTTGGAGCTGGAGCGAGCCTGTCCCCGTGCAGGCTGGCAGCTGGGCGTTTTCAGCAGGCCTGACTTGGGACATCCATGGTGGGTCTCACCCTCAGGCTTGATGTGCACTGCAGTGGTGGCCTCATTACTAGCAGCTTCCTGCTCGCAGAGAAGCCCAGCCTGCTCTTCCTGCACCACAGCTTCCCGGGGGCCAAATCCAGTCACCAGCTGCCCTTTTGTGTTAGGGCTAGGCCTAGCAGGATGGCCAAGCCAGTACAGGGCCTTCCTATACTGCCAAGCCCATGGTTCAGCATGCCCAGCTAAAATACGCAGGCCCCCAAGGCCTTCCTGCACCCTCCCTCTCACCCCAGCACCACCCAGACAATGGCCCTGAGGCCTGGGGACCTTGGCTGGGTAACAGTAGGTGTTTTGTTTCTATTGGCATCTGGGTTCCCAGGGCCAAGGGAGGGAGGGCTGCAGACCAGACAGAGGCCAGGAGACCGAAGTCCTGCCCCTGGGCCTCAGGTCCCTGTGATGGCCTCTCCCCTGTACCAGCAGATCAAGGGACAGGTGCAGACATTGTCAACATGGGGACCTCCAGCTGGAGGGTGCAGAAGAGTCAATGTGGAAAATGCACAGTGGGTGCCGTGTCATTAAGCTGCCACTTGTTCTGGGGGTGGGGGAAGAACGTGGGAGTGGAAGCTTGCCTGTGTCTGGGTCTCCAAGCCTGAGCTTAGACAGGCTGAGCGGGGCTGGAGCCCCAAGCCTGGAATGGGACAGAGCCTGGGCACTGTGGATGCCCCTGTCCTTGGAAATGGGATGGTGGGCTGCTACAGTTTACAGATGAACAGCTGAGACTTCCAGGGAAGTTTGGTGGTATGGTGTAGGAAGAAAGGAGGCATCTGCCCAAGGTCTTAGAAGTAAGATATAGCTGGAACTCAGAGTGAGAAAAATGTCCTTGTCACCCGGCACCAGTGGTTCCCACCTGTAATCCCAGCTACCCAGGAGACTGAAGCCAGAGCCTAAAAAGTCTGTGAAACTCTTCTCTTCCAGTTAACCAGCAAAAAGCTATAGAGGTGTGGTTCAAGTGACAGATTGCTAGCCAAGAGCAGAAAAGTTAAGTGAGAGCACAGGTCCCTGAGTTCAAGCCCCAGGACCAGCGCGCACACACAGAACCTTTCGTCTTCCACCTGTGCACAACGTGGCCCTGCACTCTTGGAGAGGCAGCCGTACTCCTCCTCTTCCTATGAGGTTGAGGCTGGTGCGGGAGGCGTTGCCGGCCTCTGTGTGCAGGGAGCGGCGTTGGTAATGGAAGGGCCAAGGCTGACTTCAGGCTGGCCTGTGGGTGGTCTCTTCCCTGTGTAGGGGTTAGGTTGAGGTGTTCCACCTACCTGACAGGCCATAGCAAAGCAGAGGCTGCGTGTATTGGACTTGGGCTCGGCTGCAGGTTGAGGGATAGAGCCGCTGGCCTTGAAGGACAGAGGAAGTACCCTTCCTGGTAAGGACGGCATGCTGGTGCTGGCATCCCAGGGCCAGGTCCTCATCCTCTGCCATCTGTGCCCACCCAAGGCTTGGGGAAGAGATGGGTACTGCTGTGCCTACAGAGACCAGGGGCTTGTTGGCATTGGTCAGGTTTTGAATTTAGACAGGACCCAGCCTCGTAGCCATGATCACCAGCCATGAAGCCCCTGGGTCCACGACAGACTCAGAGATAAGGGCCACACGGCTGCATCTCTCCTTGGCCTGCCTGGGCCCTGGGCCTGGAGGGAGGCCGGGTCTTGTGTGACCGAGGCCAGAGAGGATGGGCTTCTGCCCGCGTCTCTGTGGACCCTAGAAGTGGAGGTCCCTGGGGAGGGCTGTGTTTGGCCAGGGAGGAAGATCCTGTGCCCACTCCCCACCCACTCCTCCAGCCAGCAGGGTCCCCTTCCTCCTGGCACCCGCTCTCCTCTGGTCCCTCTTCTGCCCGTCTGGCACTCCACTACTGTGACACTTGTTAGCAAACCAGTTGGCTTTCTGGAGTCTGCTGTCCCCACTCTGATGAGGCCAAGCAGATGGCCCTTCCCACAAGGCTCCGCCCAGAGAGCTTCCAGGTCTCCCTGGATTGGCCCAGCCCAAGACCAGTGACTAGTACTGAGGGCAAGGGTTAGCTAGTGGCCTTCCACGAGGACAGGCAGGCCCATGGCTTGAACCTGTCCTTGAACTGCTTCCTGGAGCTGGGGCTGACAGGAGGTGAACAGTCACTCTTAGTGACTCTGGCACTAATGTTGGGAGGTCCCAGGGGACCCACCTGTGTTCTGTCCCAGCCTGATGGAATGCAGCTGCTTCTGCTCTCCTTGTGCAGATGGCCTGCAAGCTTAGGAAGGTCAAGTTCCTAGCCCAGGTCACAGATGGAATGGAAGGAGCTCAGACTCTCGCCAGCTGCAGGGACGCGTTGTGGCATGGGCTGGTCACTCACGGGCCCTGGCCACCTCTGTGCAGGGGGTGAGGACTTGCTTTGTGAGCTGGGTCCAGAGCGGTGCTTGGCTTATCTGTATCTGTGTCGGGCAGGCAGCAGGGGTGGCTTTCAGCCCCCCTCCCCATTACAATGGACCTTTCACCTTTCTCTGGTGGGCTTGCTGGTGTCCACTGCAGCTCCTAGGGTGCTTGGCTGGTGTCCCTCCTCTTGGAAGAAACACAAAAGAGAGACAGGCAGCAAGCCAGGGCCTTGCTTTCCAGGGTGAGGATTCCTTACCCAAAATGCACGGGACTCGAAGTGTTTCAAACCTGGGATGAGCTGTCTTGGTGCTGGGACGCCAGTGTGAACACAGTGTGTTTGTTTATGTCTCCTGGGCGTCCGTGCAGACTGAAGATGTTTCTAAAGTGCTTCCAGCCCTTCGTAGTCCCTTTCCTGAGGTCAGGTGTCAGTTGTTCCAAGAACGTAAGGGATTTGAGCATTTGGGGTTTAGAGTGCCTGTTGTTCAGCCTGTATAAATCCTAGAATTCCAGGCAAGGTCCTGGGTTCTATCCCAGGCATCACAAAAAAAAATCACAGCTCTGGGGCTGGGAAGGTGGCTCAGTGGTAGAGTGCTTGCCTTGCATTCATGAGGCCTGGGGTTCAATTCCTCAGCACCACAGATGCAGAAAAAGCCGGAAGTGGCGCTGTGGCTCAAGTGGTAGAGCGCTAGCCTTGAGCTGAAGAGCTGAGGGACAGAGCCCAGGCCCAGAGTTCAGGCCCCACTATGGGGGGAAAAAAATTACAGCTCTGTCCTCTGCTGAAAAGAAACGCCCACCTTCCTTCTCTTTTCCTTCAGTCCCCAAGGGTGTTTAGATCTGCTGATCCCAACTATCTGAGCACCCCAAACTTACAGCCTCAGGGCAGACTCCTGGAGTCTTGATGGCTGGGCAGGGCTCCTCAGTAATCATTTCCCCCACCCCTCTCCAGCCAACTTGCCCTCCAGACACACCCCTGCCTCCTGCCTGCCAGCACCACTTCCCCAGGTCCTGGCTGTGCTCATCTTCCCAGTGTGTGAGCTGTGGCAGGTGAGGGAGCTCTTCTTGTTTTTGTCTGCAAGTCTCTGACAGGCAGCGGAGCTGGTGAGCATTCCCTGTGGATTGCTTGACACACAATCCCAGGACTCTGTGCTCCACGCAGCTGACCTGGCACGCCCCTTTCCCCTGGAGGGAGTCAGTGCTGGTTTCCAGTCACCGTAGACGAGGCTTTTCGGGTTCCACTTCCACAGGGTCCCCAGAGCCCTCCACAGCTCCGTGGAGGCAGGCAGTAGTGTGGCCTTTCCAAGCAGGGGTAGTGGTCCGGTAGGAGTGCCATGAGGGCGGGGCCGCGGTGACCACATGACCACAGGCTTGGGTGGAATGAAGGACTGGCAGCCTTTGAACCTCTGGGGGTCTCAGGAGTCTGCGCTGTGGACCGTGAGCAGTAACTGCTGCCCATAGAGGGCCTGCCTTCCTCTAGGTTCGGCTCACCTGCCTGGAGAGTGGAGCATTCTCCCCAACCTTGTGCTCCCCAGCGTGTTGCTGACAGCCCTGTGCTGTGCTAGGAGCGCAGAGGGAGTTCCCCAGGCTTCATCCCTGTGTGCTAACCTCCGATGGGTTAATGTCCTGTCTCAGGTGTGCAGAGCAGAATGGCTGGGCCCCTCCCTAGGGCCTCCTGCCCAGCCAGTGCCCGGGAGGACCTCTGGATACAGGCTACAGGGCACTCAAGGTGTCCCTGAGCAGCTCTGGCCTCAGCAGTGAGATCCAGCTGACCTCTGTGTGCCTGCCAGCGATACCCGGGTGGCCCCAGGGAAGGGGTGAAGGCCAGCAGCAGCCTACCTGCACAGCTTCCTGCCTTCCCTCAGCCAGGGTGGCCCTCCTGAGCCGTTCCCTCTCCCTGTGCCCTCTCCCACCCTGCCCTGCAGGCCTTGCTCACTGCTGCTTCCATCCTCAGTATCATCAGCTGGTTTGTGCGGACCTTCAAGTATGTGTACAACCTCCGCTTTGATGTCCGGGGACGGCAGAAGCTGGAGGCGGAAGGGCCCTGTGTCATCATCTCCAACCACCAGAGCATCCTGGACATGATGGGTAAGCTGCCACCCAAGGCACGGGGTGGGGGCAGGGGGGGCAGGCTGGGCCCCCATGAGGCAGAGGCCTGAGCTGAAGCAGAGCCAGACATGTGGTAAGAGCAGCAGGCAGCCAGGGCCAATGGCTCACCTGTAACCCTCACTACTAAGGAGATTGAGATCTGATGATCAAGGTTCGAAGCCACCTAGGGAAGGAAATCCCTGAGATTTTTTTTTTTTTGGTTGGTGGTAGGGCTTGAACTTTTTTTTTTTTTTTTGACCAGTTGTGGGGCCTGAACTCTGGGCCTGGGCGCTGTCCCTCAGCTCTTCAGATCAAGGCTAGCTCTCTACCACTTGAACTACAGCGCTACTTCCGGCTTTTTTTGCTTATGTGGTGCTGAGGAATCGAACCCAGGGCCTCATGCATGCAAGGCAAGCGCTCTACCACTGAGCCACCTTCCTAGCCCAGGGCTTTTACTTTGGGCCTGGGCATTGTCCCTCTTCAGCTCAAGGTGAACACTCAACTACTTAAGCCACAGTGCCACTTCCAGTTTTCTGGTGGTTGAAATAAGAGTCTCAGGGACTTTCCTGCCCGGGCTGGCTTTGAACTGCAATACTCAGATCTGAGCTTCCTGAGTAGCTAGGATTACGGGCATGAGCCATTGGCACCCTGCCCGTGAGATTCTTACCTCCAATTAATCACCACAAAGCTGGGATGAGTGGTAAAGTGTCAGCCTTTAGAGTGGTAAAGTGTCAGACAAGAGCACAGGGCCCTGAGTACAAGCTCCAGTACTGGCACACCCAAAGTAGGCAGCAGGCTGCCTATGCCTGAGTGTATAGAGCACCCCATCTTCTGTATAAGGAAGGAGGCAGAGTTGGAAGGCTTGGCATCTTGTGTGGGGTGTGCCCGGCTCATCCTCCTCTGGGAGAGGCCTAGTACACTGTCACTGCCTTGGTTCTGAATGTATCTGTGTATGTGTCCTCTGTCTCTCTTCCCCTCTCCTCCCCTTCTCCTGCCCCACTTCGTATAGGCCTCATGGAGATCCTTCCGAAGCGCTGTGTACAGATCGCCAAGAGGGAGCTGGTGTTCCTGGGGCCTGTGGGCCTCATCATGTATCTGGGGGGTGTCCACTTCATCAACCGGCAGCGCTCCAGCACCGCTGTGTCCGTCATGGCCGACCTGGGTGGGCGCATGGTCAGGGAAAATGTGAGTTTGTGGCTTGGCGGGGCTCTGTACTCACAGAGCATGTCTGCAAGTGGGAAGCGGCAGGGGCTGCGCTCCAGGCTGCCAGTGGCTGAGCCTGCGGAGGGGAGGAGAGGACTGGCTCCTGAAGGGCCACCAGCCCCCCCCCCCCACAGAGCCAACTCTTTTCTCCACAGCTCAAGGTGTGGATCTACCCTGAGGGCACACGCAACGATAATGGCGACCTGCTGCCCTTTAAGAAAGGTGCCTTCTACCTGGCCATCCAGGCCCAGGTGAGCCCCACCCTTCCTTGGGGGGGAGGGGGGTTGGGTCAAAGGAGGCTGAGATGACCTCCAAACTGGCCAGGTAGAAGCCAGTCTGACCTGTAGGGGTGGTAGCCCCGGGGGGTCAGGCCTTTCACCTGCTGAGAGGCACAGCCTGGCTCTTGATCAGGTCCAGGCGCTGCTGACACCCCACTTCCTGCTGGCCAGGCACAAGTCCCGAGGTTTTTTGTTTTGGTTGGTCATGAGGCTTGAACTCGGCCTGGGCGCTGTCCCTCAGCTCTTCAGCTCAAGGCGAGCGCTCTACCACTTGAGCTACAGCGCCACTTCCAGTTTTCTGGTGGTTGAAATAGGAGTCTCACGGTCTCTCCTGCCCGGGCTGGCTTTGAACCGCGATCCTCAGATCTCAGCCTCCTGAGTAGCTAGGATGACAGGCGTGAGCCACCAGCGCCCGGCTTGGTAGGGCCCATTTCTGTGTAAGACGACAGAGGCTGTCTAAAGGCCGAGGGTCCATACAGACAGGACTGCAGTGGCGTCTGATACCGGGACATGGTCTTCCAGGCCCATCACGAGTGGGCAGCCTGCCACATTCACCCAAGCAGAAGCCCTGGCAAGCCCAGGTGGGAAGGCCAGATCAAAGGCTGAGGGTCAGTGGGAGGTGCCTGGTTTGGTTTCCCACAGCTGTACCCTCCCACCCCCATCCACACCAGCACAGAAGTCTGCAGCAGGGGCTGGTCAGGACAGGCTGAGGGACTTTCCTGGGGGCCAGGGGAGAGGACAGAGCTGTGGAAACCCATTGGACACACACTTAGAAACCTGTTCTACTGTCAGTGTTGTCTCAGTGACACACTCTAGCCAGGAGCTGAGGGAGCCCGCCCAGCTGGAGCCTCAGGTTCTCCCAGATGCGGGGTGGGCGGTCGGGGGGGGGAGGAGGAGAGGCCGGGCAGCCACTGATGCCCACTGTCCCCCCAGGAACAATCAAGGTGCAAGTGCTGGATGCCATCCCCACCAGTGGCCTCACCGAGGCGGACGTCCCAAAGCTCGTGCACACCTGCCACCAAGCCATGAGGAGCACCTTCCACCACATATCCCAAGCGCCCCAGAACGGTGCTGCCGCGGGGCCTGATGACCAACCAGTCCAGTAGCCCAGGCCACACATGGGGACAGCAGACAGGAGAAGAGGCCAGAGAATGGACAGAGAGTCCCTCTCCAGGGCTGCCAAATATCACTGTGTCTGCCCCCCCAGCCTGGCTCACAAGGCTCTCATTCAGGAAGCCGGAGGCCCCTCTGACACCTCTAGGGGGAGCCCCTCTGGGCTCTGCAGCCCTTACCTGTGCCTCCAGGGTACAAGCCTGAGCTCTAGACTGCCAGGCCTTTGGGCAGCCAGCCAAGGAGCAGGCAGGACTGGCCAGAGCTGGCCAGGGAGCCAGGCACTGGCCCCAGGTCTTCTGATGTGGCTGCCCAAGGCCCACTGGGTACAGTTTGGCTCTGGAGACCAGACCCTGGCCTGCGTCAGGCCTTCGGGAGAGGAGGTGTCCAGGCATCACATACGTCTTGGGCCACCAGGGCCACAGGGCAGTGCAGCGGGCCGCCCCTCACCACCTCGAGGAGAGCGCACGGCAGTGTTGTGCTTTTTGTTTTTTCTTTTTATAAACAAAGTCTTGGAAGTGCCTAGTGAGCTGTGACCCTTACAGAGGAGGGGCAGGGTTCCCCGGCATCTGCGTGTCCAGGAATTCGGTTGTAAGAACAACAAAGCCCAATGCCCACTATTCCCCGTCCCCCACGCACACCCCAGGGGTCTGGCGTGGAAGTCCTTCTCCCCAACCCTCCGTGGGAGTGAGCCTCACTACCAGAAATGCTTTTTCCAATGGGTGGAGTGTGGCTCCACCTAACACGCAGGGCCTGATGGCTAAAGATGCCCTTTGACCTCTAGCCGTGTGCGGTGCCAGCGTACCACCAGAAGGAAGCCGTGCCTTAGAACCACCTGCCTGGACTCTGGTGGTGCTGGCGCCCCGGGGCTCCTGTGAACCCAGCGGGGAGGAGGAAGGGCACAGCCCCCAGCCCAGCACTGCGCAGCAGCTCAGTCTCCAGTGTTCCCCGCCCTGTTCCCCGCCCGGCCTCAGGAGGCTGCTGCTGAGGCCCACTGGCCTTGCTCTGGGTAGGGAGGCCTCGTACCGCGGGCCCTCTGGGTCCTGAGAAACGCTACGTGTGGGGTGCACACAGGAAGACCCCCATCCTGAGCCCAAGTCCGGGGGCTCTGGAGAAGGGGGAGGGGAGCAGAGGCCCTTCACAGCCTTAACCGGGAGTGGGGCAGGCCCCGCTGGGAGGTAGGAGCCGCAGGGCAGGATGAGGAGGCAGCTGCTTGTCCAGCCTCGGGTGGCCAGGTGGAGACCTTCACAGATCCTTCCTGCAGGAGCCTAGGGGAGGAAGAGGAGGCAGAGCTGGCTTCACCGCCCTGGCACCCAGACCCCATCTGGGCCCAGATCCCAGGAACACAGCGATAGTGGCAGCACAGGTTACTCACAAGACCCCAGCTGCTCCTCCAGGAAGGAGACCTGTTCACTCAGGGAGTCCACGCGGTCCAGCTGCTGGAGGGAGTGGGCCAGGAGGCTGCCGGGGTCCTGAAACCCGTGCTCTGAGGCCCTCGAGGCCAGGCTGTGCAGGGGAGCCAGCGCCAGCTGCAGCTTCTGCAAGGGGGGGCGGGGGGGGGCAGAAAGTCCAGGGACCCGTCAGCCTCTCAACTCAGCGCTGGCTCTCCTTGCCACTAGGGGGAGCTATTGCACCAGAAGAGCCTGAGACTGGTACAGAGGACGGTGTGACAGGACGTGTGGGGGTGACCAAGCGCGGCTCTCCTCAGCCCGGGGGAGTCCGAGCAGCAGTGTCACCTGGCATAACCCAAGCCAGAGAGGACCCTGAGTCAACAGGAGAGCCGGGGTCCTCGAAGGCCTTCCTGTGGAGCCACGGGAGCTATGTCCCCAGAAACGGCAAGGGTCTACAGGCCTGACCCAATCCGGCCCTTGTGAGCACCAGCCAGACCTGTCTGCCCAGCCTCACCTGCTCCAGCGCGTCCACCCGCGACTGCAGCCTGCGCACCTCCTCCTGCACCACAGCGTCTGCTCCTGGGGGCAGATGCAAGCGCGGGTCAGGAGCCCAGGGCCAGGGATGGAGGCTTCCCCGCCCCAGGGAGCGCTGGGCCAGCTGCAAGCCCTGGAGTCACTGCCTCTGCCCCAGCTGTCCACGCAAGACAGGCTCTAGGTGGACCCGCCTGCCCCACCTGATGGGTGCTCACCGGGGCGGCGAGCTCCTGGCGCTGGGCTGCTGACGGCGCATTATTACTCACGGTACGAGTTTGAAGTGTCACAGCGCGTACCAAAAGTAATAATGTCCCGTCACCAGCGAGGGACCGTGTCCGGGGTGGGGTCTTCTTGCGCTTTCTCGGCTGAGATGAGGCCTCCCGGAGAACTTGCCACAGTGCCTTCCAGAAACCTCCCCTCAGGGGAAGGGGTCCCTGCTACCACCTTCTACCCAGAGTGCCTGGCCTCTCACATGGCACATGGTACTGACCAGGGCAGGCCATCTCCACCTCACAGCCCTGGACCGATCCATCCCCATCCGTCCCGCCTGCCCACCGCCTCAGGCCAGGTGCGGCAGCAGGGGTGGGGGCTGAGCCTTACCTGTCGGGTCCGGGGCCATCCTGGAGGCCCCTCCCTTGGGCAGGCAGAGCGTCCCATCTGCAGACAGGCTCTGTCCCTCCCAGCACTGACACGAGTAACTGCCCGCCGTGTTGACACAGCGCTGGGGACAGCCGGCCCCTCCCGTGCTGCATTCGTCCACGTCTGCAGGAACAGACAAGCAGCCCTGCACGAGCGAGGCTCGGCCACACTACGCCCCACTAAGACCCATCCATCCGTGGGCACCACGGTGGCCAGCCCTTGTCCACGTACAAGCAGGAGTGTGGCGCCGGCCTTACCCGTCTGGCAGGTGTCTCCCTTCCATCCTGCAGGGCAGCGGCAGCGTCCCGGCTGGGCACAGTGCCCTCCGTTCCTGCATGGTGGCTGGCATATTGCTGTGGGTGGGGGAAGCATGTCACCCACTCCAGAGTGTCCCAAGAGCCCTGGGCAGCAGCCGAGGCGCGGCACCCCCCATGCTGGGCACCACGGGTCCCACTGCCCTCACCAGCTTCACAGGCCCCGGGAAGCCCACCGGTCCTCTTCCAGCCGGGGCAGCAGGCGTAGCGGGGCCCTGCAGGAGCCAATCCAGGGCTGCGGCGGTAGGCGGTCCGGTAGATGGTCCTGCAGGGAGAAGGGACCGTTCTAGGGACCCCACAGAGGCTGGCCCAGGCTGGGCCTTGCCTAGACATGCCGGGGGTCACCCGACCCCATCGGCCAGCTCCTGGCACCTGACTACTGGGTCACCCCCAAGAGTCCCTAAAGGGTCTCTTGGGAACTGCAGCATGGGGCCACGGCCCCCCGGGGTCTCCAGTGATGAGCAGACCCCTGCAGCATGGGGGTCCATGTGCAGGACTGACAGGCAGAGGCAGCCGGCCCTGCCTGCAGCAACGACTGCTGGGCTGGAGCCCAGCCCTTCCTCTCCTGGACCCCAGACGCCCCTGCTAAAGCTGCTCCTTCACTTTGGAAGTTTAGGAGCCTCTGAAATCTGGAGAGGAGTTTATGAGTCTGAGACTTTTCTAGATGCTTCTAGGCTAGGAGGAGGCGGGAGTCCCTGTCCTTAGAACAAGAATCTGTTCCCCCTCCCCTTCGGGACATCAGGGGGTGTCTCCCTCAGATCCCATCAGCAGGAGAGGGAGGGGTCCTGGCTGGGGTCGCAGAGGCAGACCGGGATTACAGGCAGGTTTCAGGGGGCTGGCGATGCCCAGGAGGAAGCGGTGGGCATCCCAGGGCAGAGGGTAGCAGAGGTGGACACCTGCAGCACAAGAGTGCTCTTCTAGGCGCCGTCCTCAAGGCGCCGTCCCAAGGCTGGCCTCCGTGGTGATCAGAAGCATGCTCAGACTTGACTGCAGCCCAGGCCCGCACCAGGGACCCCACAGCTCAGGCTCTGCAGCGAGGGCTGCTGGCCGGTGGGCGCTCACCCCTCGCGGTGCTCACCTGTAGGTGCTGCAGGCCCGGTGCCCAGCGCAGGTGGTAAGGAAGGGCTGGTACACACGCTGCACGAAGGACTCTGAAGCAGGTCCTTGGACCTCCATAGCACACACCCTACGGCTAGAGGATGCCTGGCTCAACCACAGCACTGCGGACCCACGAGCATGGGGGAAGGGCTTGCGGGGGGGGGGGAGAGAAGCTTCTTGGCCAGAGCCACCGTGAAGGCTGTGAGCGACCTTGGGAAGGGCTGAGCCCCTTCCCCACCCACACCCACGACCAGGCTTACCCGGGCCCATAGACGTGCTCAGTGCCTCCTGCGGCCAGGACTAGAAACCACAACAGGGGGAGCTCCCGGGAGCCCCTCATGGCCGGAGTCTCCAGGTGGGCCTGCCTCCACCAGGGGCCTGGAGCGAGCAATACAGCCAAGTAAGGCCAGGAAAGCTTCCGGCTCCCATCCAAGGCCTCCAAGGGCAGCAGCCCCCTCAGGCAGAACCACCCTCCAGCTAGGCGGCCCTTCAAGCCATCAGGAGAGCCAGGAGGCCCCTAGACTGCGGGGCAGCACAGAGAGGGCACCGGAGGTGAGGTGGGTCGTGAGGGTAACACAGGCTGCTCCCGCTCCCTGGTGACTGGACGGCTGGCCTGCCCTCCACGCTCTGCAGCTGCGGTGCCCATGGCCGTGGGACCCCGCCAGGCCAGGGCCTTGCTGGGCCATCCCAGCCCTCTGGACGCGGCTTCCATATCTGCCCAGGGCAGAACGTGTGCCCGGGGCATGCGGGTCCCAGGGTGTGGGTGTCCATCATCAGCAGATGCCAGGGCCGCTTAGGGGTGACCACCAGAGGGGGTGTCCTTCCCAGACTCGAGTCCCTGTGCGAGAGCCTATGGGCTCCTAAGGCATTGGTCCCCTGGGTCTGCCTGTGCCCAGTTGGGGTAATGGAGCAGCCCTGGGGTCACTGGAGTCCAGGTCTCTCCTTGAACAGCTAAGCAGTGGCCAGGAGGCTAGTGAGGCTTCCTAGGAGTCCAAAGAACCCCAGTCCACAACTGGTCTGGGCCGAGGTTCCTACAATGAGGAGCCAAGGGGTCCAATGAGGAGCCTGTCCAATGAGGAGGCTGTCATGGTTGCCTGCACTGTAGACAGGAGGGTGGAACCTCTTTCTCCCAGACTCAGTTTCCCCAAAGACACCAACCACACTTAGGGTCTTAGGGCCTCCTCAGGCTCGGATGGTCTGTCCCACAGACAGTGACACTCAAGTTGTGGGGCCCTGGCTGCTGTCCAGGGCTGGCCTCGCACAGACACTGGTCACTTGACTGGGTGTTGGGGCTATGCAGGTCCCCGGCATCCACCCTAGGCCTGGCGCGCTGGGGCAGAGGGAAGCGGCAGGAGGCGGGTCCTTCCTGCCCGGCTGTTTGGAGGCAGAGGGGAGGGAGGAGGGCAGGGGGCCCGGGCTGGTGTTGGGTCTCAGGAGCAGCACAGAGGTGTCCGGGCCGGGCTTCGGGGCTGGCGCAGCTGGGGGCGCCCTCCCTCAGCCCTGCGCACCGGGCCAGGATTGCGCCTGCACGGAGGCTCGGGT